GATGTCTCAAAGTTTCTGTTGGAGCTTACTGCATGCAGGACGAAAGGCTGCTTTTCTTACAAGACAAGATGACTGAGCAAGGTGTGCTTGGTGGGCAGTTCTCTTCTTTACCAGCAATTCCTGGATCTCTTGATTGTTTTCATCAAACCAGTCCTTGTTTTTCTTGAAGGAGAACCCTAAGGATTCTTCAGAGGACAGCAGGATGCTATTTTTAATATGTTGCCAAAGCGCTTTGGGAGAGGGATCTATAGAATGATCTTGATCTTTGAGTCTAGTTTGAATATTTACCTGGAAGCTGTATCTCACTATAGCTGTTTGACGATTGTTAACTTGGAGTCTCCTCCTTGGAATACTGCCCCTTGTAGATTTGAACTTAAGGTGGAAGTTAATTTTACAACGCACAAGGCGATAATCTGTTTGACATTCTGCACTGGGCATCACGCGGGTATGACAAACATCGCAAACATTTCTCTATCGCACCAAAACACAGTCAATGAGGTGCCAATGTTTGGATCGAGGATGCATCCAGGTTGTCTTCAAACTATCTTTCTGCTGAAAGATAATGTTGGTGATGGTGAGTTGCTGCTCCGCACAAAACTCTAGCAGAAGGCGTCCATTATTGTTACAGTTTCCAACACCATGCTTGTGTAATACTCCTTTCCAGGTTTCAAAGTTTTTTCCTACTCTGGCGTTGAAATCACCAAGGATAATGATCTTATCATCTGCAGGAACCTTTTGAGTAAGGTGGCGCAGATCGATGTAGAATTTATCTTTTTCAGCAGGGTCACCTTGGAGAGTTTGGGCATATATACTAAAGAGAACAACATGTTGTTTGTTGTGTAGTGGGAGGCGTAAGGAGATAATATGATCAGAATGACCTGTCGGCGAATTTTCAAGTTTTGGGACAATAGAGATTTTAATCATGAAGCCAACTCCTGAATGTTGACTTTCAGTTCTGGGTTTACCTGACCAATAGTATATAACTGGCACCATGTTCTCTAAGGCTGCCTTCCTTGTGGAGATGAACTTCACTGAGAGCAGCAATGTCGATGTTAAGTCATGACAGTTCATGGGTAATTAGAGCAGAACGATGCTCAGGATATCCACTATCCACAGTATTAAGCATGGTTCTGATGTTCCAGCATGCAAGTGTCAATTTGAACACACCTTTAAGGGCAGGTGTATGCCTTTGTCTCTTTATCTTTATTTGACTGCATTAGAAGATGCCCGTTGGCTGCGGTTAACTAACCAGGTGAAGGGTGGAGATGAGCTTTGGTTAGACCACCTTTTCTAGGCCCCACTCCGTGTGGAGCAGGTAGCACTCTCCTTGAAAAAGGCTGCTTGGTCATTCAGGATGTTGCCGAACAATGCTGTCGTCTCCGGGGTCCTGAACTGCCTGCATGCAGGGTTGGGTCTGGGGCTTCCAGTGCACCTTATCACCTGCCGTTTTGTCCCTCGCCTGTTGCTACAGGGCCTTACAGATGTGGATATATCCTTCAAGCCTGTGCAGTGGATTTTTTAGGTGAGGCACAGCATGCGCAGAACTGGTCCCACCCTTTACTCCTAAGGTTCATCTGCCAGAGCCTAGCAAGCTTGGACAGTGACAGTGAAGTCCTCAGGATGTGGGTTTAATTACAGTATCCTTCTCTTGGATGGATGGCCTTACAGGGCTAAGTGAACTCCATCTGCCCGGGTTTGGGATTAGAGTTGTCCTTCTCCTAGGATGACTGCTGGAAGGTTAGTGAGCCCATCCTGCCCATGGACACATTTTATCTGACCCTTCAGTTTTGACCTATCTGGCATGGGGGACCCTACCGAAGGCATGTACCGCTGCCAGCACAGCTTGCAACCTCATAAGGGCACACAAGCTTCTCCCCCACTAAAATGATTTGGATGAGCTTTTCTCTCCCTACTTTTACCCCTCAGCCTCCTACACTCCAACCCAAGGACAGTCCCTTGTCCTAAACGCCCTTCCAAGAAGCCATAATTTTAAAACAAACCATTCCTGGGCAGAAGCCACAAGCGAGTCAAGCCCAGCACATCCCACTCTCACTGCAACAATGCTGAAACGGGGAGCAGTCCTGAAACACACTCGGGCAGGACGGGCACACAGATAAGGGGTCCCTGCACCCACCCAGGGCTCGGGTATCTCCCACAGCCCCAGCCCAGCCCAAACCCCCCAACCTCAGAACCTCCCTCCCCAACCTCACCCCCCTCCCCCCGCCGTGCCACCACAGGCTCCCTCCCCCCGCACTGCACACCCGTAGCTCTCCAAACGAGACTGCCCCATTCGCCCACCCACAGGTCTGGGGATCCCGCAGTCCCACCCTGCCCCCTCCTCCAAACAGGACTGCCCCACCTGCCCTCCCGCGGGTCCGAGGATCCCTCAGGCCCACCCCCCGCCCCCCCAGTCACCACCTAGCCCAACCCAGCCCAGCCCGGGCCTGCAACCTGACGACTGTCCTGTACAGCAGGTGGCCATGCTCCCCCCACAAAAAAAACCTCGGGGAAAAAAAAAAAACAAAAACCAAAAAAACCCAAAAGCTATAATAAATCTCATGGGTAATTTTCTTAAACTGTCCTCTGCTGAGGCCTACTGGAGAAGGAATTTATGATCTGTCTGCACAGAAATTCTTTGGATAAGTATACATATAGTTGATCTATGTTTCTACTCTATATGATTTTTTTTCCTTAAGTCTTGAATGCCTGTAGATTTTAGTGATTTTTGGTAGTGAATTTTGGAGAATAATAATCCCGACTAGGCACAAATAAATATGATGCAGTTAGGTTTAGAAAACATATCCAATATATAGGGTAAAATGTCTTCAGCCCAGTGAGGAAGAATTTTAGAAACCTGTAGCCAAGGCACCTCCCATTTACCTCATGACCTTAGTTCTCCTCCACTGAACTTTGCATAGTGCAAGTGTTGTGCATATTTAGCTGGTAAGGAGGCCTGTTGCCAAGGAGATGTCACCAGAAAGGGGGGGAAATGCAATTGCAGAGGGAAGTATTTGTTGCAGAGGGGTGCTAATTTTGGCTGAGGAGATTTTCATCTTGCTCAATGTAATTTCACAGTCTCGACTTCCTCTTTCCCTGTTAGACTGTGTGAGGGCAGAAGGATAGGAAAGGAAACTACCTGGTTCTTTCTGTGGCAGGATGAGAACCAAGAAATTCTTGGAATTTATGTGCTAGGTTAGAAAGTGTCTTTTAAAGCAAAGAGAATGACTTTTGGCTGAGTCCATTTGCATGGGAATATTGCTCCCCAGAAGGCAATGATTCACACACAGTTGTGACTCAGCCCTGAGATGAGGTGAGGTCCTGCACAGGAACCCCTGTTGCAGGAAAGCAGTGGCTATGGATTGTCTTTTCCTTCCTTGGCAGTAGCTGGTTGTTGGAGCAGTCTGGCTGGACTAACAAGCATGTTCTCAACTGGAATTGCTGCCATGAACCTGGTAAAACACGTGCTTACTGTTGTGGAGATGACTTTCAGGTGGTTGGCAACGTACCCGGTAACCCATTCCTCTACCCAAAACAGCTTCATGGGCCTTCAAAAGCAAGTTCTTTAGCAGCATGGCACCCCAAAAGGAGCTGAGTCAGGCAATGGGACCTGTTTCCAAAACAATCTATTTCTCAAGGATGTGGGTGCACCTCAGGGAAAATGGGGGAGGATGGGGAAAACTGGCATGTACCTCAAGGGGATTTAACCTCAGGGGAAGATCAGTCATTAAACAGTGATGCTATCCATGCTCTTATTAATCTCTAGGAATGTTTGTTTATAGGTACTGTACCTGTGGCTACTTTTCAGGTCTGGTGTTGTATCCTATCCCAAACTCCTGTCCAACATGGAACTGTTTTGTAACCGGACAGAGTGGGACTGCACAAGGTAAATCATTCACAACCTCTAGCTGAATCACAGCACAGCTGAAATTGCAGTTTTTCTTTTCCAATTTGAAAAAAGAAAGTGAGAAAAAAATGGAAGTCATAATCTTCATCCTTCCTGTCTTGTGTCCAGACTGTTTCAGAGGATGTCATTGAAAATGAGTGATCTTGCTTCTACAGTCATGCTCTATGCTGTCTAAAGGATGTAAATCCTCCTGAGACTTGGAACTTTGCCATCCTTTTACCACAAACACAGAGACATGCTTCTCAGTGTCCACAACCTTCTCTGAAATACGCAGAAACAGTAATTTCTTTCTGAGGAAGTGATTTCTGTGAAATGTTTCTCAATTGCTCTGGTCATGTACTGGGGGCAGGGTTATTTCTGACTCACAATCTTACTCTCCCTCCTTATCTAACAATACTCTGTTCAGCTCAGCAGGATGTGAGAAAGTAGCACATCAAGGTATCTTCCATTCATATGCTAGAAGAAGATCTATTATCAATTTATCTCGACAATATTAGTCATCTGTTACTTTATCAACATGTCCCTTGCTTTCTTAGGCAGTGCATCTTTCACTTGCAGTATCTTCTAGATGTGCAAGATATCATGAGATGTTAGAGTTTCCATGATGAGGCCTTTGGTTGACAACTGATCATGTCTGTTTTTTCCTATAATGAAGGGAAAAAATGATTCTCTCTTTTTCAATGTGGAAATTTTCACCATCCAAAAGTCCACCTGATCATCAAATTTATGACTTGAATTTAATGTTTGTAAAAAATAAAAAAGGTCTGGAAATTAGGGAGCAGAGACTTCAGAACAAATTAAAAAAATAATAAAATTAAATGTACCTTGTATCCTAAAATGAATCCTCTTTCCTAAGAGGCATTATTTTTAACACTGCATTTGTTTTCAATGCAATCCTGACATATCTTAACCTAAATCAAAATTCCATCTTAAGATGCATGTTGTTATAGGAAAAGAGGGAATGGTTTTAAACTGAAAGAGGGCAAGTTTTGATTAGATAGTAGGAAGAAAATAAAGTTATATAATACATATTAGTATGACAATTGCTATCCTCAAGTCTTTGGTACAGTTGCAATTTTTATAGTCACCAGTTAAAATATGAATTCCTAAGAATTTTAAGAATATGACAAAGGTTTTGGTCCTGTGTTATTTTTTAGTCCAACATTAGCTTTGTTGATATATAAATTTCTGTTTGTATTTTATTTACAAAAAAAATAAGATGTGTTGAAACCCACTGTAGAGAAAATAATTTCTTATCAAGCCTCATCTTTCTCTTAAAAACTACAAATAATGTCTTTTGTAAATGCAGTTTTCTCTCTCAGACTATTCCTGAACAGTTGAAATAATTTTTTTAAATATGTATCTAGCTTTTTGACTTTCAGATTTTGTCCCAGTCATCATAATTGTCCCTTTGGATAATATTTTACAATTCACACTCCTTCCTGCAGAACATATTCCTGTGTTTAAAAGAGGTCTGTGGGACTCACGTTTCCTTGAAAGCTGGCACTTTGCCATACTTGTTTGTTTCTTCTTTTTCTGTTTGAAAATGTGAAATGCTGTTTTCCTCAGTAGTTTCTCCCACAATCTAAAGCTTTTGCCTTGACTTAATGTCCTTTAGAACTCATTTCTTTACAGCCTCCCTCTCCAAAACTCAACAGCAGTTCCCTCCAGAGTAAAACACCTTGGCTGGTTTTAAACTTCTTCATGGTCTCCCCCTCTAGCAGATAAATCCAGTGTGTGGGTGACACAAGAAGTGAGATTTACCTTTCAGTGTTTTTATTTCTAACTATCACCAAACTGCCTTAATCTGCAGTTGGATTTTCATTCAGTGACCCCATTGAGATATTTTTGCCATAAGGTTACTTTTTCAAGCAAAACATGTTGATTTGCCAAACTGGAAACTGAGAGCAAAAATATGTTTCCAAAAAACCAAAAATGTTGGATTTTTATGTCATATGTCATTCCCAGACCTGCCATGCCCTGCTCTGCCCTGCAACCACAAGTTCAGGTGAACACAGATACCTAGTTTGGCTCCTGCCCTGTCCCACAAATATGACTGACAGGACAAAGTCACATGTGTATGTGTATAAACCTTCCTCTGGACAAAACTGGTTGTTAAAAACCCAGACAAGGGCAGCTAAAAATGAATGACTAAAATCCCATCCACATTTCCTACAGGAAGCTAGGGATAACATTCATGCCTGGAACTCTTCTTTTTAACTCTCCGTCTAGCTTTCGTTGCAGCTTTTCTGAAAGAGTTGCAGATTTTTCACACATATTTTGTGTTGATTTGACTCCCTTGCAAGGTGCAGTGTGTACTTCCCTAAATCCAATGACTGTGCAGAGATAGTCACCATGAGGTCCACTTATATTAAACCTGAAGAGGGAGAAAGCCAGATTTAGTTGCATTCCTGACACAGTCGATGTGATGCAGTGAAAGGCACAGTGTCCCCTGGCCTTTCTGCCAAGTTGTCAGGGGGAGCAGAAACTGCCTTCTTGGAGTCTCCCTCCCAGTCCTTGCTTTTCTTCCCCAGTTCTCAACAAAAGTATTTGGGCAAAGCTTTCCCATCCAGAGACCCTCCCCTGCTTTGGTCTCCTTCATCCTCCCTCTGACATCACTCTCTCTTATCCCTACCTCCTCTATCCTTCCTTTCCCCACACAACTCCATCAGTCAGATCTTTCCTTCCCCACCAGAACTCCAGCTGTGTCCTCTCTTGCCATCCTGATGGGACTTACCTGTGTTCCCATAGGACTTCAAGGCTCCCTCTTCCTTGTCACAGGAAGTAGAAACACCTGTATCTCAAGGAATCAGACCCAATCTCAGTCCCTGATCTCACTTGTGCTCTTGACTGTCTGCTCTGGTTTTGGGGTTTTCCCTGCTTCCAGACATTGCCTGACAGGGACTTGCTGCAATGAGCTTACAGGGCTGGGTCATGTTCCATGTTGTTAATCCACTTCCACTTCTGCTCTCTCTCAGAGTATGTGAGACCAAGTAAGTAGTAATTGTGTCTTGATTGTTCAGTGAGGTAGTGCTTGAAAGGAAGCAAACCATGACAATATATTAAAATTACATTTTCTTCATCAGAGGTACAGAAAGTTTGTGCTAAATGGCCAATACGGAGGGCACAGTGAGCATCCAGCTACGCCAAGTGGCTGGCAGCAGATTAGAGACCTCAAACACATCCAACAGGAGCAGACACCAGTGGAACTCCTCAGGCCTTTGCCCTGTAGCCCAAATAACCCTGGAACAGCCCCATGGATTAAGATCTCACCAGTTCTTCCTTGTTGTCAATGATCACCAGGTCTGAACCCATGGCAGTACATTGTTTACGGGAGGCATTCCAGTCCTTTTGTGTATTTGGAGAAAAGAAGTAACATTTTCTCCCATGTTTTTCCCATTGTTTGGGGCAGGCTGCAGGAGGGAAGAACGGATATGGGAAAATCCATGTTCACACTCTCAAAACGATCCCATGACAAAAGAGAGGTAAGAGAGGAAATCAGAGCCAGAGAAATACCTGTGTGGTCCTGCTTAGAATTGTACCAGACCCCCAGGGATCTCGAGCAGTCTCTGGAGCTGATCCCAGCCCAAGAGTCACCGGGCATGAGGTAGAGAGGGAGCACCACAAAAAACATTATGCAGCCTTGCCACTTTTTGCTCAACAGATAGAGAGAAATGATCAGGGCAAAAAAACCATCTTTCGGTCATGGTGCTGCTAAGAGATTGAACGTTTCTCTCCATTGCCAGGCAGGGACCACAAGGAACAGAGAATGGGACCTGGAAAGGGGGATGAGATTCAAGGAGACAGGGCCTGCATGAGACACTTTGTTGGGGATCCAGCAGCTCCTAAACTGCAAAAGGCAATTGCACTGAGTTAAGATGCCAAGAACAGAAGGGGATTGGAAAAGTAGTCCAAGCACATTATCCATCCTGCTCACTGCAGGAATGGATATACCAGAGGAATTGTTATTTCTGTGCCTTCCCCTGCCACAGACTCCTCTGCACTGGCAGGAGAGAGTCATCAGCTCTTCCCACCTCTGAGACAGAAGTGCAGAGCTGACCCACCCCTGCTCCTAAAGGAGGTGCAAATGGGAAACATCTCTGGCCTCCAGAGTTCATCCTGGGAGTGTCTGGGATAAGATTTTGATTCCTGAGATGGCTGAGGTTTTATGTGTTTGTTTCCCTGTAGGAGATGTACCCCAGGGTTACAGGGTGAGGCATTCTGCATTCTGGGGTTTGGGATCTCCAGAAGTACACTGACACATATAGGCAGTGTGTATTCTGCTGTGATTGGGTCTAGGCGAATCACATGCCCCCCGAGGGTATATACTGGGAACTTTTCCTTCAAATAAAGGATTTGGCTGTTTGCAATCCTCGCTGCTGGGTCTTGTCTTATTAAGCCATTAATAAGCCATATTTCCCTTCTGAACAAAATCTAGACACAACCCCTCTCCTGCTGCCCTTCAGAGGCAATCCAACAGGCTTCTGGAAACTCTTTGGAATGATAGAGCATTACGTACCTAGTGCCTCTTCAGGGACTTGGGGCAATGTTTTTGAGTCCTGTGGGCTGCTTGCAGTTGGATGATCTGGAAAATAACAATACAATTTCTACTTGGAATGAAGGATTATTTTTCTATACACTGTCAAAGCTGTCCTGGACTTCTTTGACATCCCCATCACCCAGGATAGAATGCCCCGTCTACCTTTTTGCTCATCCATTAAAAAATACCTCTCAAAACAGTCCTTCCTATTGCAGGGCAGATTTCCAAAGAACCAGACTCTGAAATTGAACCAGAATTACCTCACACCTTTTCAGAGCAGTGGGGACTGTAATGCACAGCACACACAGAACCACAGCAAGAGGAAACAGGAGTCATTTCTGGGAGCTCAGGGCTCCAACCATTGTGCTCTTGGCTCAGTCCATTTCCAGCCCAGCCTGGAGTTGTGGGCACTGTCTGCTCCTACACTGAACAGCCCTTGGCACATATTGGAACAGAAGCCTACTGTGCCCCAGCTGGAAGCTGCTCCAACAGTGCTGCTCCCCCAGACCAGAACAAGAAAACAGAGTTCCTGTGAGGTTTTAAAAACCTTCATCAGTTGTGATTGATTGTGGAAGCCTCTCAAGCTTTCTCAGCTATCAAAGGATGGGAAAAATACAGTCAAGCCCAAGTGAAATTTAAAAATGTTTCCTTGAAGTAGTAAACACACTTCTTTAAGTTATGACTTAGTTGCCTCTATAAAATGACCTTTTATTCATATTTAAAGATTTTGCTGTCACAGTCATCTTGTTGACATGATACGATGTCGTCTTGAAATATTGTCACCAATCGCAATCCTAACAACAAAAGGTATTATTTTATCTTGATTTCTTTCTCCAAAACATCTGTGTAATAAATTCTTTAGTATCTGAACATTGTCACTTTTTCAATTGGGTGTTGGGTTTTGTGTGTTGTTGTTTTGATACTTAAACTTTCAGAAACAGTTTGTTAAAAGTTGCTGCCTTTTCCCTTCAAACTGTCCTTCTGTTGATACTGGCATTGGAGGTCATGACCCAGATGTCATTGGGTGAGTGAGAGGCACAAATTAATTGCTGTTATTACATTTATTTCAGAACTTACATATGTGTACCAGACACCCAGCCAGGACCAGTAGGAGGATTATCACAATCAATAAAGCAACCACTACAACAACATGTTTTCTGGAACAGCTTCTACCTACAGATAGAAAAAATAAATGTTAAAGGTTAAGAGCTGGAAAAAAGCCCCTTCTTCTTCACTCCCAGGTGCCTTTTTCAGGCTCACTCTGGGAACCTGAGGCCTTCCAGATTTGCCTGCTGAAGCCAGGCTGAATGTCCTGGTGGCTCTGGACACCTGGGCTTGGGGAACTGAACAGCATCATGATACGGAATGTGTTTGAGGAACAGGTTAAAGGGAAGAGAGTCCTCATAGCACTGGTTTGTATAAGGACAACTTATACAAACTTATACAGTGGGTGGGTAAGAGAGGGAACTGCACCAAGGAGAGGGTGACTGTCAAAAATGTGCTAAAAATGTCTGCTCAGAGAGACTGAAATCCACAGAGGCAGCCTTGGGGTTATTGAAGGACAGCACCTTGGAATATGTGGCCAATATAAGGCACCTGCCAAGAATGCTCTAGGAACAGGCTAAAGGAAGAGCTGTGAAGAGCAGATCCAGTAAAGCAGAATATAGTGACCAATTCCAAGGGACATTAGGTGGCATATAGCTGCATTGCTAGTGCTGTTTTGGAATCCCACTCCTAAAGCTCTCTTTGCACCCAGGGACTAGAAAATGAGAGATCTACTATGAACTCAAGTCAAAAAAAAAAGAGGAGATCTGTGGACATCAGCTCTGCTTTTCCAACCACACAGCCATGGAATGGTTTAGATTGGAAGTGACCTTCTCACATCACCTGCTCCAGCTGCCCTACTCAAGCAGTGTTGGCCAGAGCAGGGTGTCCAGGACCAGGTACAGTCAGGTTTTGAAGATCTCCTGGGAATGATGACATTAAATCCTCTTGCATTACGAATCATAGTCTCAGTAAGTCCCTGAGGGAAATGTGAAAGTACTGCATATGAAACTATTACCGGAAGGTATCACACATGCCCACTCTCTGCTACTTCAAATTCAGTTGTTGACTTTTCAGAGCTGTTGGCGACAGGAGGTTGGGTTGGGTGATTTCTTAGTTTGACCCATAATATCCTTATTTTCCTCTGTCAGTGAAGTTGACGAGGGTTTAGCTGCATTTGAATTCTCCCTGCTCTGAAGATGTAGAGTGAACAATTGCCTGTTTCGGTCTCTCACACAGGTTTATATCACTGCATTTTTGGAACATAAGGTATGGCCCCCTCTGCCCTTCTCATTTAAAGCCCTAACAATTTATCACACAGTTAAAAACTCACCAGCTGATGTGTGTCCTGTTGCAGCATTTGTGTCTCGGGAATTTAGTTTCACTTCTGTGTATGTAGAACCTGAACCCAAGCAAAAATAACAGAGTACACAGAGAGCTGAAAAACAACTTAAAGGAAACAGAAATGACTGAAATTATAAGAAATTATGAACACATGAAAACAACTTAAGTGTTTAAATATGCCTAAATAGTATTTTTCTCCATTAAAGAAGCCAATTCTCTTCTCTGTGCTGACCAGTGACATGACCTGAGGGAACATCTGGAGCTGTGTCAGGGGAGGTTTAGGTTGGATATTAGGAAAAGGTTCTTCCCCCGGAGGGTGGTTGGGCACTGAACAGGCTCCCCAGGGCAGTGGGCACAGCACCAAGGCTGACAGAGTTCAAGGAGTGTTTGGACAACACTCTCAGGCACATGGTGGGATTGTTGGGGTGTCTGTCCAGAGCCAGGAGTTGGACTCGATGATCCTTGTGGGTCCCTTCCAACTCAGAATATTCTATGGTTCTATATTCTATGATGATACATTCACATCCTGTAGGACTTACTCAAAGCAGGAACAGATCTGGCTTTTCTTCAGTGTAGACAATAACAGAGGAGACATGTAGACAAAAGTGAACAAAATATCTTGAGAGAGAGATAATACCTGGGAAATATTTTGCATAAATTCAGTGAACACATAGAAGCAAAGAGTTGGTAGGAGGTTCCCTGCAAGGCACAAGCAGAGAAAGAAAAAGCGCTGTTCAAACTCTATAAAAACTCTACATAGGAATATATGGATTAAATGATAAGACAAATGGAACTTTTAATTAGGTGGCATCTCTTGTGGTTGCCTGTCCATTTAGCCATGAAATTATCTGTTGAAACAGGTGATAAAACACTGTTTCTTGGTGTGTGAGAAACTCCACCAATCTGAAAATAGATAAACAGGATTCACACTTTCTATAAAAGATGAGCACAGAATAACAAGGAATTATTTTTGTCAAAGAGATACGAAGATTAAAAAGAAAGGGAAGAAAAAAATGAAGAGAGACACAAAGTTTTTTAGGAACTAATGTCATGCAGATGTAGCAAAACCAATGCAAAAGGTTGTGCAATAATTTTTAGTGCATTAAAGAAAGCTAAATCATAGGTTAGAATTTTGCAAAGACTTTGGTACTAAATCACACCAAACCTGTCCATGAAACATTTTGTTCTTGATGTATTCAACAAGTAGTTTGCACAGACCAACACAGGAGGAAAAGCCCAGAGGCAATGCCTGCTGTGCTCAGGGAGCAGAAACGGCCTGTGCCTGAGACTGCTGCAAACACCAGCAACAGGAGACACTCAATCCTGATCTCTTTGCTGCAGGAATCAGAGTCTGCCTGGTTCAGGGCCACTGGGTGTTCAGCTGTGGAACAGTCTCCAAAATTGAAAAAAACTAGTCTTTATATCAAACAAGATACTCTCCCTTACACTTTCACCTTAAAAATGAAAAGTACACCTTAGTACAATCCTCCCTACTTTTTTTTTTTGTGTGGTAAAAAATTGTATCTGGACAACCCACTTGCACATTTTTCCCAGCACTGACCCTCACATTTCCTTCATGCTCTTTGGGGCTTTGGTGCTCCATGACACGCCTTCAAAATATGTGGAAAACAAACTGAAGAATGGAAAGAAAGCTCAGTGCACACCAAGTGACCTACCTTGGAAATCAGTGACCTGCTGTACTCTGGGTCTGGCTGATTCAGGTAAGTTCAAGTCAGCATAAATGATATCTTCTACCATTCTTTCTCCCCCTTTTTCTTCCTTCCTTCACTGCTGTTCTTACAATGACACTCTGGACTGGGTATGACTCCCCTCTCTAACCTTCAGGAGGAAGTTCTTTGCTTTTCCGGTCCTACACAAACTCGAAATGAAAAGAGAAGTCTAGTCTTAGCTCATCTTTTGATGGCAGAGTGTTGTCATGTAAGAAACAGAAGTAAATATAAGTTCACGACCTCCAAGTGGTAGTCTTTTTTGGGAAGTGGTTTAGGCATTAGCAACGTCTTGAGTTTCCAAGTCTTCATACACAAACACACACGCACACACATACAGCCATTGTGATTTGAAAAGCCAACCTTTATTCCCGGAAATGGAAAGCAGAGGAAAGTGCAGGGATCCAGCAGTCAGCCCTAGAGAGCAGAGGGAAGCTCTCTGGGTGGGGCCATGGCACATCCCACAGAGCAGCCCTGTGGGGTCCAGCAGGCCCTGCTCTCCAAAGCAGACATCTTAAAGGAGGACATGCTGGTCCTGAGCCAGAAAGGAATGGACTTGGCCCTGTTGAAACAGGACCCTGCCACACTCAGGGGGGTCACGTGTCTGCAATTCTTCAGAATCAGACCCAAGCTAACTTGCTGTATCATGAGGAACGTGGGGTGTGTGCAGCTCAGAAACATGTCCTTCCTCTCTACAGGTAAATTCTGAGGGCAATGGGGATTCATAATGGTCCAGGCTGTTCCAACAGTGCTTAATATGCAAAGGCTGACCCACCAACTGCACCACAAAGCAAAAGCTTGCAGGCTGTCTTTCCTGGGAAAAAGGGTTATCACTTGCTTTTTTCAGCCCTGCGCACAAACTACCAGCCTGAGTCCCAAAATTGCTGATGGAGGAAGATTCCTCCCAGACCAAAGGTGCCAGGACAGAGAGCTCCTGCTGCACATGGAGTGCCCAGGCACCACAAAAACCAAAGCTTCCAGGCTTTCCTTCCTGGGGTGTTACAACCCATCCCAGCAAAAGGGGAGGGGGGGTAACCCAGGTTTTTATCAATAATTCCCTTGAAGTGGATTAGAGTGAAGAGACACTGAATAGTCGGTGTCTGAAAACATATATTGGTAAGGTTTATTTTAACAATTCTGTATCAACAGGTATGCTAGCATTTTGGGTGTTGGCATATAACAATGTGACATAGAGATAACCTTTGGGGAGAAGAAAATGCATAGGGGAGAGAAAGACACGATAAGAGTAAGGGAGAGTAAGGAAAAAGAAGAGAGTGAGAAAGAAACTTATATAGTCACCACCCACTGGATACAGCGATGCAGCTTGGCAATCTTGAAAGCGATGGTTTCGATTCGCAGGCGGTGGGGGAGAAGGAAAACCCAAAATCCCAAAATCACCAGTCAGTTTATATACCCTCAGCCTTCTTTTGCACCTCCCCTGAGGCAGGGAGTTGTTTTCTTCTTACCTTTTCAGGGCTTGACACCATCAGCACTGGAGGGAGGGATGGGTCCAACTGCCCATCAGAGGCATAATGCAAAACTCAAAAGCCTGCAAACTTCGCTCTTCACTGGAGGGAGGGACAGGCACAATTGTCCATCCAAAGTATAATGCAAAAGTCAAAAGCCAGCAAGAGTCTCCTAGCATGCATAAATCATCAACCAATTTCAGTCTCTGACACTGGGGACAACGACTTTTGGTTGATTTTTTCAGCCCGAGTCCCAAAATTGAATAGGGAGGAAAATTCCTGCCACAACAAAGGAGACAGGAGAGAAAGTTCTTGTTGCACATGGAGTGTCCAGGCTGGTCCACCAACTTTATCAGAAAACCAAAGCTTCCAGTCTTCCTTTCCTGAGGATAAGGGTTGTTGTTTGCTGAAAAAAGCCCTGCGCTCAAACTGCCAACCCAACTCCCAAAATTGCATACAAAAAGATTCCTCCCAGTCTAAAGTTGCCAGCAGAGAAAGATCTTGCTGCTCATGGAGTCTCCAGGCTGACACACCAACTACACCACCAAACCAAAGCTTCCAGTCTTTCTTTCCTGGGGACAAGGGCTGTTTTTTCCTGTTTTGAACCCATGCCTCCCAACTGCCAACACGACTCCCAAAATTGCATACGGATGAAGATTCCTCCCACACCAAATGTGCCAGCACAGAAAGGTCTTGCTACCCATGGATTTCCCAGGCTGACACACAAACTGCACCACAAAGTAAAAGTTTACAGGCTTTCTTTCCTGGGGATAAGGGCTTTTGTTTGCTTTTTTCATATCTATGTCCCAACTGCCAGCCCGAATCCCAAAATTGCATACAAAAAAAGATTCCTCCCAGTCTAAAGTTGCCAACACAGAAAGCTCTTGCTGCCCATGGAGTGCCCAGCCTGACCCACCACCTGCACCACAAAGCAAAAGCTTCCACTCTTTCTTTCCTGGGGATAAGGGCTGTTGTTTCCTGTGTTGAACCCGTGCCTCCCAACTGCCAGTCCTACTCCCAAAATTGCATACAAACAAAGATTCCTCCTACACCACAGGCGCCAGCAGAGAAAGCTCTTGCTGCCCATAAAGTGCCCAGGTTGACCCAGCAAGGACACCAGAAAACTAACATTTCAAGTTTTCTTTCCTGGGGAAATGACTCTTGTTTCCTTTTTTTCACACCTACCTCACAACTGATAGCCCGACTCCCAAAATTGCATACAAACAAAGATTCTTTCCACACTAGAGGTACCAGCACAGGAAACTCTTGCTGCTCATGGAGTGCCCAGGTTCACACACCAACTGCAACAAAAAGCCAAAGCTTCCAGGCTTTTTTTCCTGGGGATATTGGCTGTTGTTTCCTGTTTTGAATCGTGCCTCCCAACTGCAAGTCCGACTCCCAAAATTTCATACAAAAAGAGGTTCCTCCCAAACCAAAGGTGCCAGCAGAGCAAGCTTTTGCTGTCAATGGAGTCTCCAGATTGACACACCAAATGCAACACGAAGCAAAACCTTCCAGACTTTCTTTCCTGGGCAAAAGGGTTGTTGTTTCCTGTTTTTAACCCTGCCTCCCAACTGACAGCCCAACTCCCAAAATTACAAACAGACAAAGATTATTTCAAGAACAAAGGTACAACAACAGAAAGCTTTTGCTGTTCATCGAGTACTCAGCCTGGTCCACACTCTGCACCACAAAGCAAAAGCTTGCAGGCTTTCTTTCCTTGCGATAAGGGCTGTTGTTTACTGTTTTCAGACCTGCCTCCCAACTGAAAGACAAACTCCCAAAATCGCATACAAACAAAGATTCCTCCCACACCAAAGGTGCCAGCACAGAAAGGTCTTGCTGCCCATGGAGTGCCCAGGCTGACACACAAACTGCACCACAAAGTAAAAGCTTCCAGACTTTCTTTCCTGGGGATAAGGGTTTTTGTTTGCTTTTTTCACATCTGTCTCCCAACTGCCAGCCATACTCCCAAAATTGCATATGGACAAAGATTTATTCCACACCAAAGGTGCCAGTACAGAAAGCTCTTGTTGCCTATGGAGTGTCAAAAATGACACACTGTGGGAGGCGTGTCTAAAGGCACAAGGGATGTGCCGGGGCAGTGAAGCCCAAAAGAGCATGTGCCGTCATAGGTAACTCCATTGGTTAAAGAAGTCACATGGTAAAAGAACACGGATTTTGAAATAAAGTCTCTTTGTTCACCCCACCACGAGGAGCAGTTTTTTCCTTGTTATACAAGGACTAGCGCCCAAAACAACATACCAGCTGCACCACAAAGCCAAAGCTTCCAGGCTTTCTTTGGCGGGGATAGGGACTGTTGTTTGCTTTTTTCAGCCTGACGCTCAAACTGCCAGCCTGACTCCCAAAATTGCATTCGGAACAAGATTCCTCCCAGACCATAGGTGTCAGGACAGACAGTTCCTGCTTCACATGGAGTACCCAGTCTGGTCCACCAACTGCACCACAGAGCCAAAGCTTCCATGTTTTCTTTGCTGGGGAGAAGTGCTGTTGTTTGCTTTTTTAAACCCTGTGCTTAAACTGCCAACCCAATTTTAAAAAATTGCAAATGGATGAAAATTCCTTCCAGACCAAAGGTGCCAACAAAGAAAACTCTTGTTGCCAATGGAGTATCCAGGCTGACCCACCAACTGCACCACAAAGCCAAAATTTCCAGGCTTTCTTTGCTGAGGATAATGGCTGTTGTTTGCTTTTTTTCATCCCTGCGCTTAAACTGTCATCCTGACTGCCAAAATTGCATAAGCACGAAGATTCCACCCAGACCAAAGGTGCCAAATGAGACAGTTCTTGCTACCCATAGAGTGCCCAGGCTGGCCCACTGTGAGAAATAGAAACCCAGTCGGGTGATTTCCAATCAGAATTTATTATATGATAAAAGCAAATTCAGCACTGGGTGATCAGGGAGGGGATTCAGCAACTCCCAACACCTGTCACACCCAAAGAAGACAGTTGTTCTACATTTATTTCCAGCTACTTTGTGAATACTCATTATATATAAGCATAAATATTACACATTGTTAAGTTAGACATTCAACAGATTTTTTTTTCAAGAATGTTCTCTATAAGCATCCATAATATATTGTTAACTCAGACATTCAACAGACATTTTCTTAACAAGAATGTTATCAATAAACATCCATATTGTCAAATCAGACATTCAGCAAATGTTTGCTTGTTATCTATACAAAGTTATAAATTTTAAGAAAGGTGCTATTATCTAGCTAACTAAACAAAATTCCCTCACTATAAATCCTACACAAGGTAAAAGGGAGGTAACTTGTTTTATCTCTTTATAAGGGCCCAATTAAGTTTTACGATTTGTTTTTCTTTTCTCTCTCCAGGTCATATTGACCTTACACTGTTTTCTCTTAATTAGCCCGAATCATTTTCTCAGTTTATTACACCCACCAACTGCACCAAAAAGCCAAAGCCTCCAGGCTTTCTTTGCTGGGGAGAAGGGCTGTTGTCGGCTTTTTTTCAACCCTGCACTGAGTCTGTCTGCCTGAGTTCCAAAATTGCATATGGACAAAGATTCCTCCCAGACCATAGGTGCCAGGAGAGAGCTTTTGCTGCCCAT